CGCTGAATCAACAAAAAAAGAAAAGGCAGGCTGGATATAAGTTTTCCTTGAATCTGATATTTGAACAGATTTTGTGTGAGTCGGCCTCCTCCCAGGAAAATGGATAATCAGTGCCTGGAATTTTACTGGATTTTCTATAAGCTTCAAATAAAGAAGGCAAAAAATCTCCGGAATTCGGAAAACAATAATAATAATAATAATAATAATAATAATCGCAATTTTCTTTTTATATAATTCGTTTTATTATTTTTAACCCTTTTCAAAATTATTTTATTTTTGAATTTTAACAGTTTTAAACAGACAAATTCAATTTGTGAGATAACTACAGCAGTTACTTTCCCTGTACCATACAGCAGCACATTTTTGTCTTTTACAGTTGACCTACTTCAGGTGCTATCAAAATCTGCACCGGAATAAATGTTGCATTTAATTTTTTGAAGATTGTAGGTGGCATGGAAGCAAAACATTGAAAGGGAGTTCCATAGGCAAGAAAAGAAACTGTTAGAATATAAGGTTGCAACAGTAAAATGGTGAGACTTAGTAGCCAAAGTATGGAGCCGCTGCTATTTACCTTGAGCGCCTTAATAAAATCCAAAGAAGAATCAGCCATATTATTGGTCCTGATCTGGCGATTCGGCTTCTGTCACTTTCCCACTGCCGCAATTTCTATCGCTTTAGAATCGTTATTCGTGTCAAGAATAACCTGCAAGGTCTCTCGAACATTCATAGCTCTATACCTGTTATTCATTGCATCGAAATTCAATCATCTATCAAATCAATCGCTTATTTCAGAGGATGCCGTTACTATACGGTAGCTACTACTCTTCTCCGGGTTGGCCCAATAGTGCGTGTATTCTTGTAAGTCCTATTGGCATTTCTAGATTCGGTTACAAGCAAAAACACTTGTTTGGTTGACCGGATCAGGTCAGTCTGCCTGAAAAGAGTTAATATATATATATATATATATATATATATATATATATATATATATATATATATATTAAACTCTTATATATGTATATCAAGAAACACGTAAACAAAAATCTCTTCTGATGTGTTTTTTTGGCAATGGTAGCGGTATACGATGATGCTCATTGAACCAGCAGGAGATGGAAGAATGACTAATTGAATATTAAAGATCAAAGTTTTTGGGGACGGAACATTTATCGATCTCTGGTCAGTCTCGAACAAAATATTTTGGAATGGGGTGAGTTTGGACTGAAAGCTGAGATTTATGATGTTTCATGTTTAAGTTAACAAGGAGGTAGGATTTCAAGCCCCATAAACGAGGAACCCTTTTGTCTAGTATGCGAACACTACAAGGAAGAGCCATATTCGACAGTTTGTCTTCCCTATTTTCCAAAATCTAGTAGAAGCAATCGGGTCACGCCGCTGAAGCATGTGAATTAACCAGAACAATTCTTTTTCGTTGTTCGTGATTTTTCGACAATGGGGTCACTTTTCGATAGCGTCACATGCCATGACGATCACCTCCAAGATGCTGGTACGGAGCATAACTCAAATACAATCCCAAATTGAATATTCAAAAAGAAATTAGCTCTTTGGCAAGACGAAATAGAATTTCTTAAACGAGTCACAAGAGAGCCGCAAAAGCTGTCAGGTTCAACCTTATCACAAATATGGCCGCAAGTGAAACTAGATCTGTTATAAAATAGTGACGTTTCTCAAGAGACTAACGCTATATACATTTCAATGGCGGGGGGGGAATCGATACTTTGAAGCAAGTGTGAACATAGAGAAGACAGCTAACTACCACAGCGCATTTATGTTTAAAGCTGGTGACAAAGCCAGGATCGAATGATGAATTAGACGGCATTTAGTCGACTCCAAACCCGAATAACTAGAAAACATGATCTAAAGCTCATGCTTTGTTATATGTTCTTTTTGAATGACTCGGTTAAGTAATCATTTCGTGTACACAAACATACATAGATACATATACCTATACACACACCTATGTGTACGTATGATTTCATTTTATGTATTATATGTATTATTTATGTATTATATTGCGAGATTCAAAAGTTCTCAATGCTATCATCTGCATAATGTTTCTGAAATCTTAGAAGTGTATTTAAGGCTTAATCACTTCTTATCATTATGTTTATAGATTTTAGCGCGCCCACGTCGCTATTGAATACGACACAAGTTTGAGGTTTAACCCATGAACTGCCAAATCTTTTTAACGCACATTTTTGGCCCAGACAGGTGTCTTGGGAGTTTATATATTCCTTATGTTCAATTTCAGTAGTTACCATTGTCGCTTTTATAGAAACTAGAACATTAAATATATATGTGTATAAAACAACAAAAAATAATATTGATTAGAAATAATAAAAAAAAAACTTTTGAAAATAATCATTATTTTTCTACTCGTGAAATGTAAAATTACGACAGAAAGTGTCTTCTTACGGCTAATAATAAAAACTTTAAAGGCTAAGTGTTGTAAAATATACCTCTTCAAATTCAATGTATGTAAGCAATTCAATGTAAATGCAAGGAATAACATGTAGTGAGTTTAATTTTAACAGATCCCCAAATGGGGCTTATGGCAGGTAATGGGTTAAAGTGGGTTTAACGGCAATACCGTGGAATAATTACCCAAGCCTCCTCGGCACCTCCCCTTTTTGGGAAAGCCTCGGTCGCTGGGCAATAAACCCAACCCCATCACAAGGAAAATATGCTGCCAGGGATGAATGCCTCTTGAGCTTAAAAAGGATTTTCTTAGATGTAGCACAGGTCGAAAGTGTTACTCAGTCCTAATTGATCTAGCGAGACAAGCTTGCTAACCATTGCACCACGTCGAAGTTCCCGCCTTATCATTAAGAAACTAAGAAACTTAGTTACATATGAATTTATAGAAAAGAACATCGGTCAACTTTTAACAATAAGTCTTTCTATTCTTGCTCAGAAAAAAAAAACATGCTTAGACAAGACAGTCACTATCGATGTTAAATTGATTTATAATTAGAATCGTAAGAAAATTACAGCAGTGAGACCTGGTCATAAAACGTGAGACCAAGAAGACGTACTGAGTTACTTTTCTGGATGTTTGAATCAACAAGGCTGATTGAAGGCAAAAAAAAAAGATGATTAATAGCCCAACGTGCAAATTACAAATGAGAAATACCAAAATCAAAGGACAAAAATCTAAATATCTAGGAAGTGTTTTAACAGAGGTCGGAAAGTGCAGCACTAAAATCAGGAGGCGCATTGGGATAGCCGAAGATGCTTTCGAAAACCTAAGCAAAGTATTAAGAAACAGAAAATTTTCGTAAAGAACAAAGCGTTCTGGATTGTTACGTGATATCATTCCTCCTGTATGGCAGTGAATGCTGGACAATCTCTTCAAAGACAAAGAAATGTGGTTCCACAGGAGGCTGCTGAGGATACCATGGATCGAACATGTGAGAAATGACGAAGTTTTAGAGAAAATGGAAACAAAAAGGAAACTTATACTTAACATCAGAAAGAGACAAAGAATAGAGATTAGTTTCGTTTAAACTAGCAAGCCACTTCTTGCCGCAGGACAACCTTTAATATCTCAAATTAAATGGAAACTAGAGAAAAAAATATTTCTGTTTGTTGGCATGATCAAGCGGTAATTCTTTATTACCAACTGCAAAATTTTGCAAACCAACAATGGGCAAATGTCACCTTGAACGTCGCTGAAAGCGGAGACAGGACTGAGAAAAAGTCTTTCTTTCTAGATAAGGAATACCAATAATTATTTTGTTCCACGATAGTTGCAAAGCTGACGTATCAAACGAAAATGGACTTTGAGCGGAAAGTTTTTATTATTCTTATTATTATTATTATTATTATTATTATTATTATTATTATTCTATGCAGGTTATTCCCAAGATGTTTTGCTTTCAGATTATTACTTGCTTCACTCGCTGTAACATACCTTGTTTTCTTTTCAGCAATTACAAATATTTCCTCAATTTCTCAAAGAATTCATCAAATCAAACTAAAAATCGTTCTCTGATGACGGAATGCACAAATGTATCGAAAAACTGGCATAAGTTGAGAGAAACCGAATATTTTGATGACGGAATAATGTAGCTATGCTCATCTGTATAAATCAAAGAACTCACCAAGACCGTTGTACGCTCCGGCCTTCTTCAGGTGGTTGGAACCAACGCCTTTATCCACTGTGCCATGTGTCTTCGAGGACACATGGCACAGTCGATAAAGGCGTTAGCTAGATCCAGTGACAGGACCCAAAGAGTGTGAGTTCAATACCCGGCTAAGGCAGTGGAGAACTTTCAGAGGGAAATTAACAGGAGATAACTGATAACTGACATCCATTAAACATGGCACGTGGAACTAGAACAGTCTACCTCAGTGAGCGAAATAAAGAGTTCAGTTCGACATTCCAACCACTTGAAGAAGGCCGGAGCGTACAACGGCCGAAACGTTGTGATAAATATGGCGACAAAAATGAGGACAATAGTTCGAATAATGTAAATAATGTACATAATACCTCATCTCAGAAATATAGACGGAACTCACAATCCTTCAAATCTATATCATTACGGCTATATGCGGGTGTACACGGGGGTGCGGCTAACATAACTGTTATCAGGCGAATGAAGTTCTTCCCAAGACAGTGGCGTTCATCTCGCACAAATACCTTCTAGAAAGGCACAATTCTTCTGTTCCCAGGTACGGTTCAAATCGCATGGCAGATTTGGCTCTATAGCTACGGATAGCGACCAGTCCCGAAAAAGGACAAATCTAGATTCGTGAAGAAGGCAATGGAAAACCATTCTATTATAATTTTTAAGAAGTCATGACAACTGTAAGATATTATGGAAAGGAAGTATGTGGAGAGCCATGAACACCTAAGTTTCGAAGGAACATGGTATTTAAGAAAATTAGGTGTGCATGCATACGAGTTTATATATACATAGACTTCAATAATGCGTTATGTAAAAATAATTAAAATCTGCCTTTGTCAATGAATTCTTTACTTTCCCAGTTTCGTTTTTGATATAGTGAGTTCAAAAAATACGATAGATAGATAGATAGATAGATATTAACAAATAGAGAGACATGAACATATAGATAAATATATACATACATAGGTATGAACAGATAGACATAAACAGATTGTGAGATAGATAGATAGATAGATAGATAGATAGATAGATAGATAGATAGATAGATAGATAGACATAAACAAATAGACACAGATAGATAGCTAGATAGATAGATAGCTAGATAGATAGATAGATAGATAGATAGATAGATAGATAGATATGAACAGAGATAGATAGATAGATAGATAGATAGATAGATATGAACAGATAAATAGAGATGAACAAATAGACATAGATAGATAGATAGATAGATAGATAGATAGATAGATAGATAGATAGATATTAACAAATAGAGAGACATGAACATATAGATAAATATATACATACATAGGTATGAACAGATAGACATAAACAGATTGTGAGATAGATAGATAGATAGATAGATAGATAGACATAAACAAATAGACACAGATAGATAGCTAGATAGATAGATAGATAGATAGATAGATAGATATTAACAAATGAGAGACATGAACATATAGATAAATATATACATACATGAATATGAACAGATAGACATAAACAGACTGCGAGATAGAGATAGATAGATAGATAGATAGATAGATAGATAGATAGATAGATATGAACAGATAAATAGAGATGAACAAATAGACATAGATAGATAGATAGATAGATAGATAGATAGATAGATAGATAGATAGATAGATAGTAACAAATAGAGAGACATGAACAGATAGATAAATATATACATAGATAGGTATGAACAGATAGACATAAACAGATAGATAGATAGATAGATAGATAGATAGATAGATAGATAGATAGATAGATAGATAATAGATAGATAAACAAATAGACACAGATAGATAGCTAGATAGATAGATAGATAGAGAGATAGATAGATGAGATAGATAGATATGAACAGACTGAGATAGATAGATATAGATAGATAGATAGATAGATAGATAGATAGATATGAACATGAACAGATGAGATAGATAGATAGATAGATAGATAGATAGAGATAGATAGATAGATAGATAGATAGATAGATAGATGAATGAAATGACTGAGAAATAGATAGATATGATAGATAGATAGATAGATATGATATAGATAGATAAGGGAACAGACTGAGATAGATAGATGATAGATAGATGGATGGATAGATATAAGATAGATAGATGAATGTGAACAGATGGCTTTGAGATAGATGGATAGATAGATAGATAGATAGATAGATAGATATAGATATGAACAGACTGGAGATAGATAGATAAACAAGATAGATAGATAGATAGATAGATAGATGAATAGACTGAGATAGATAAAATAGATGGATAGATAGATGGATGGATAGATGGATGATGGATGGATAGATGAATAAGGAACAGATAGATAGCTGAGATAGATAGATAGATGATATAGATAGATAGATAGATATGAACGGACTGGAATGAGATAGATAGATAGATAGATAGATAGATAGATAGATATAAACAAATAGACACAGATAGATAGCTAGATAGATAGATAGCTAGATAGATAGATAGATAGATAGATATGAACAGACTGAGATAGATAGATAGATAGATAGATAGATAGATAGATAGATAGATAGATAGATAGATAGATATATACGCTTCCTAATAAAAGAATGTAGACTATTAATGCGTTCCATTGGTCATCTGTACCAAAGTATATATGCGTTCACATATTGTATATTTATTCTTTTGAGTTAATTTTATTCTTTTTTCTTTTTCACCAGTATTCGTTTCCATGAACGGAACAGTAATTTCCTCGTGATTGAAACCGATATCTTCCTTTATGCGATTAAATACAGAAAGGTTGTAAAAAATATAGAGGGAAGGAGATCTATGTGTCATCCATCCAACAAAAACTGAATATGTATTTGTTTTTGAGCTCGCCGGCATGGGCAATGTGCGCCAGGTATTTAAGAACACAATTTTAGCGAAAGAAGCATTTTTTTTATCATTTCAACCCAATAAAAGCCAGCAGGATACAAGGATTCACTGAGAGTAAAAGAAACAAAAAGGACAATAAATGAACAGGTTTCAAGGAGACAGATGATGATGATTGATATTGCATTTAACTTTTTGAAAAATCGTAATTTTAAAGCCGAAAGATGTGAGAAATGTGAGTGAAGACATTATCAGCATAGAAGTTACGGTTGCAACTAGCAATTTCAACAATTAAATTATGAGACCTAGCTGCCAATCTAGTACTGCGTTTAAATTTGTAAATTCGAGGTACCTTTGAGGAAAGCTCATCAGAACAATTACCATGAAAATATTTATACAAGAGGCAAAATGAAGCGAGGTTACGGCGGTGAGAAAGTAATTGAAGTCGAGATGCCAGGTCATGACTGACAAAGTTACCGATTCTTCTTCGGATTTTGTCAGTAATCTCTAGACTCATAGCAGAAGGACTAAACCAGATGATTCCCCAATATTCCAAACACGAATGAACAGTAGACATAGATGCAGGATTGATTCTGGCGAGAAAAAATATCTAGTACCACACCGTGAACCATCTTTCATAGCCGAGGACTTAGCAATTGATTTAATATAATCAACCCACTTCATGTCTGTTGAAAATATGAGATCAAGAAGATGCATTGAGTTGCTCTCTTGGGGATTAGCATCAGCCATGCTGATTGAAGAAAAGAAAAAGTCTTTCAGATGATTAATAGAGAAAAGTTTCGTTTTATAAACGATAAATCATGAGGAAGCCGAGACCTGCAGGTGCTTTCCAAACTTTTACAGATAGAATATGTGTTTCAGTCATTTGCTCGAGTGGTGGAGGATCAATTGCCACATGTTTCCGCAAGTGGAGAGCAAGGCCTGCTTTACTGCGTGCGGCAAAGACACAGTGGCAGGTAAAAGGCTATCATTGAGAAGAGCAGCATGCTGCCAAACTTTATTATTTGCACACATTTGATCCCGATGTTTTAGTCGGCCTGGCTCAAAGCATTGTATAGATGAAAAGCACGACAAGCGCCCAGCTCCTTCACTCTAACGCTTTGTTTTCCCAGGAAGAAAAAGGGATGCTATATCGCTCGATCGATGATATCTTCACCATCCTTCTGTAGAACAACATCTCCGTCGCTTCGAGTCTCTTCTTCATCTTTGAGGAGACCGTCCAACATTCGCTGCCGTAAAGAAGAACAGATGTCACATAACATCTTAGTACTTTTTTTCTTTGTTACCAAATAAATCCTCCTTTCTTTTGGAATGCGTCCTTGTCCATCCCGGTACGTCTACGGATCTCAGTGTCACACTGTTACCGGCCTCTGATAAAACGCTTCCTAGATATTTAAACTTCTGCACTTGCTTCATTTTAGTGTCCCCAACCTGCAAATCACATTTCAGGCTCATCTTTTAACTGACGACCATGCATTCTGTCTTCTTGTAGTTTATGCTTAGTCCTTTCTTCTTACTCTCCTTCGCTACCCTCTGTAGGAGATTTTGTAATTTTATTTCCGTGTCTGCTGCCAGTTCAGTGTCTTGTGATCCAATAGATCGTAGAATTTGACCGGCACAATTAAACTGAATGCATTACGTATTTTGTAACTACCCTCTATGGTCTCTTGGGAGACGCAAGAATCAATTTTCCCCTCACATTTTATATAATAAATAGAAGGGTAGACTAAGCTCTCTAGCACTGGATGGCAGTTAGTCTTGGAGAAGGACATCTCTGAATTTAAAACAATAAATAAATTGGCAAAAAATTACACTACCAACTTCTCCAGAAGGGTTTATGCCAATTCACAAATAATATGTGAGGGGACTATGGTCGTCTACGTCACTGGTTCCGAAATTTTGTTCCCATATTTGGAATTAAATTTAAATTAAATTAATTTGTACCTATACACGCATACACACCCTCGCCAAATTTTATATGATAAAAAGTACATTTAAAAACAAAAAACAAACAGAGAGAGTGTTAAAAGAAAAAAAACACTGATTCAAAGCCAGAACATTATCATTGATAACTCTCTCCTTCAATTTGAGAACCCTAATTACTATATTCTGAAAAGTAAAATAACCACTGATTCAAAGCCAGAACATTAGAACATTATCATTGATAACTCTCACCTCCAATTTGCGGACACTAATTACTATATTGTTAATAATTGATATAATGAAAAATATCAGAATGATATAATCGGTCGATAATTATTTACAACTATTTATACTGGGACACATACATGTATTCACGAGTAATCCATAATAATATTTTAAATTCTGAAATCATATTTATTTCTGAAATATGTATATTTTGAAACTGCTTCTAAATCTTTGATTTCAGTCATTCCGCCTCACCTGCTATCCTCTTCCGCTGCACCTATAAGGCGCGCGGCACCATTTGGGAAACACTGTTCTACGTCCTGGAGGAACATAGTATTGAAAAAAATGATCGTCTATAATTCCTACCTGACCAGCTCATTGCAGTTGAGTATTTTGAAAAATAATTCCAACACATCTCGCCTTAGCGGATTCTAATATATTCTTAGTATATTTGGACAAAGTCTGTTATACCGGGTGTAACAGCAAAATTGTCTAAATCGTGTAACAGCAAAATTGTTTAATTGTTAGATTAAGCTCTGAACCACTGTATCTTGGAAATTATTAAACATATGTTTGTGACGTACGGTGGCCGTTAATACTTAAGTATAACTCAAGACTTCAATGTTAAGATAAAACAGTATTTAATTAGAACCGAAAATAAATACTTTAGAAGAACAAAGAAGATAAAGTTAACAGAAAATAACCATTTCAGTAAATACCTTGTTAGTAGCGCGGTTCGGATTAACCTCCGGTAAATCCTAAATTAAAACACAAATCAACGACGCACAATAATTCACACTAATTAGACTGGATAGTTCCGCTCAATAGTCACTCAATAATCACTGCAGTCAGTAGCCTGACACCACTATTTATACACCTGACGGAAAACATATTCGTAAGTCCAGAGTGTCACGCTCGAACTTCGGTGTCAGTAGTTACTCATTTTCTTCCTATATGACAGATATCTTACTGGAATTGTCCAAGGTTTTTATAACACTATTGGACTCTACTTTTAACAATAAGAATGTATTTAGCTCTAAGTTGAAATGATGATCCCTCTTCTTGTTGTGACTTCCTGATCCATTTTTCCTCTCTACTGTTCCCTCTTTTAAAACTTATTCCCTGTTCTCTTGATGGTTCTTGAATGGACTTTGAAGATGGAAGACTGAATTTTGGTACCATTACTGAAGGCCTAAATGATCTTTTCTCTCTCGCCATTGCTCAGATGGGAAGACATAGTGGGGGCTGACAGAAAACGATTTTAACCCGTTCTCTTTCTAGTTGAATAATAGGGTTTTTCAGTGATTCTTACAACAAATGGTGTCAAGATGGCTAAACGTCTTACCTGAAAACCTGAAAAAAATTAGTTTAGTTGGGTTTTTGGTGGTTTTTTTTAGATATTAAGCAATTTGTTGGACGGACAACGATTGGGACAATTTTGCTGTTACAATTGGTATAGTGGTGTGAATTGAACTAGCGTTGTGAATTTGTTCTTCAAATGTGGTACTATTTAACCTTGATCCAGAGTTTTGTAAATCTCAGTAATACACGGGTATGTGATTTAAAAAAAATGGAGCAACATCATAGCCTGGGATACAATTTTCTTCGGAGACGGAAGAAAGGATCTTTATCTTGCCAAAGACATGAATGACGCTTTGGTGACAAGCGGAACAACGATAAAACGGATAACGTCTTCGATGCCTATTGACCCGCTCGCTCGATTACCATTTATTTTTTAACACTCTCGCATTTCTCATTCATCTGACACTATATTTATTTTTCTTTTCTTTTTCACTGCACCAGTTTCCTGGATTCTGATTTAAAATGACTTTTTGCTTTGATCACTGTCGCGCAAAAAAGGAATCGATATCTGCCTTAATGTTTCAAACAAATCGCCCACATAGATACAAACACAGTTAGCTTTGTGAACTTTCCAATCCATTTCCACAATCTTCTCCAAACCATTTTTAATATATATATATATATATATATATATATATAAGTGGGATTTTATTATACATGCCAATGTTTGCGGGGTAAGATCGAATGTCATTAGAAAAGTCAGAATATACCTACACACAGGCAATACATCCCGTATATTTCCTTTTATAACATCTATGCTGGACAATTTACCCAAGGGCCATGGGTAAAATAGAAGCAGCAGAAATGTGGTTCTACAGAAGGATAGTGAAAATTCCATGGACAGAGCGAGTAGGCAACAAGAAAGTTTTAAAGAAAATGGCCACAGAAAGAACATTTCTACTCAGAATCAAATAAAATGACAACTACTCAGAATCAGGAAAAGACAGCTGTAATTCCTTGGACATATATTAAGGAAGGGGTGCTTAGAAAACTTAAACCTCACGGAGCATATTGAGGGCAAGAGAGGTCGGGGAAGGCAGTGATCCCGCCCCTTATCTGACCAACGTGCGAATGGATGGCGGAATAAGAGACGGGAATCTTAGACAAGGGAGAAAAACTGCTAAGAGTTGCACATAATGGGAAGTTGTGGAAAGCCAAGATCGCCTGTGTCCTAAAGGGACGCGGCATAAAGAAGAAGAAGAAGAAGAAGAAGAAGAAGAAGAAGAAGAAGAAGAAGAAGGAGGAGGAGAAGAAGAAGGAGGAGGAGGAGAAGAAAAAGAAGAAGAAGAAGAAGAAGGGATCCTTATTTATTTATTTATTTCGGCTGAATCAGAGGTTATAAGCTGATATTGACATTTGATTGGTTAATTCTAATTTTGTCATGAAAGTATTTATACAATATCTCATATATATATATATATATATATATATATATATATATATATATATATATATATATATATATTATATATATATATATATATATATATGAATTATTATATATATATATATATATATATATATATATATATACTAAAGATGTGCCTTATTTATGGGATAAAGTGCTCAGTATCAGAGATAGAGCGTGTGTAAATATAAAAGTCAACATTGAAATGAACATTTAAGGTGACATGCTGTTTCATGCTAGTCGCAATCGTGGCCTGACGATTGCGTCTAGTATGAAAACAGCCTGTCGCCTCTAAGTGTTCATTTCAATGTTCACTTTTACATATATATATATATATATATATATATATATATATATATATATATATATATATATATATATATATGATTATTCATCATATTGCTCTGTACAAATAAAATACTTCGAGCTCTCTTTTTGTGGTTCAATTTGAATATTTTTATATTACTAGGGCCCACTTGGATTATACACCCACGGAATTTATTTTACCTTTACTATATATATATATATATATATATATATATATATATATATATATATATATATATATATATCTATTTGAGACCCACTTGGTTTAAAAGGCGAATCATTAAAGTCATCCGCTCTCTCCAACCTTTAAACTTAAATTCCGTTCGATGCCCATTAAGTGGTGTTTATTCGGTAAAAAAAGAAAAAGAAAAGAAGGTTTAGGCAATTCATAGCCCTTCTCAGGGTGCAAGCGGAAATCATTAAAAATAGAAATTGATATTTGGCGTAGCCGAGAACAAGTCTTCTTCTTTATGTGCCGGGTGTAGGTGATTATAGCTCTCCACAATTTCCTGTCCTTTCTAGCTCTTAATAAATTTTGTCTGTCTGTTTTTTCTCGTAAACTCTGTTCCGCCAAAAGTTATCGGGCCTGATACCGTAAGACGATACTTATGATGAAATACTAAAACAGAACGTGTTCAATGCTTCTCACAGGTATCGGACATTTTTAAATTTTAATGCTACTTTAAATTTTACTTCAAATTTTACTTTGATTTTTTTTTTAATAAATTTTACGTTAAATTTTACTTTGAATTTAACTTCAAATTTTACTTTTGAATTTTGCTTTGAATTTTACTTTGAATTTCGCTTTGAATTTTACTTTGAATTTCGCTTTGAATTTTACTTTGAATTTTAGTTTACAATTTACTTTGAATGTGGCTTCGAATTTTACATTGAATTTTGCTTTAAATTTGACTTTTGAATTTTACTCTGAATTTTATTTTTGAAATTTACTTTACATTTTACTTTTTAATTTTACTTTGAATTTTTACTTTATATTTTAATTTAAATTTTACTTTTGAATTTTACTCTAAATTTTAAATTTTAAATTACATATTACTTTTTAATTTAAATTTTACTTAAAATTTTGATTTGAAATTTACTTTTAATTTTACCTTAACTTAAACTAGTTGCATCCAAAGCTCATGAAACCAGTGTACCCTGTTATTAATCCACGACTGGCGGAAGAATAGATAGTATCGTACATTTCTCCAGAGTATACATTGGCTCAAAAATGAACGCAACTGACTTGACAGGAATTTGAATATATATATATATATATATATATATATATATATATATATATATATACACAAGTATATAATTGGTATATATGGAATGAATTCCAATAACCAACAATTACTATTCTTAAAAGAGTGCTAAATACAAAGTAGAGCAGATATAATTATTATTTATAAAAAAATTATAACATAAGTATGTTATAAAATCACTACAAAAATAGATATTTTGTTTCAACACACTCGGTGACTTGATAAGACACCGAGTGTGTTGAAACAAAAAATATTTTTTGTAGTGATTTAACATACTTATGTTATAATTTTTTATAAATAATAATAATATATATATATATATATATATATATATATATATTATAATAGAATAGAGTAAGTCCGGCAAATATTTAATGTATTTTTTTCTGTGTATACGTCATATTAATTACATTTAACGACCTGAAAGTTAGAGAAATTTCATACAAAATATGCGTTTTCCGACAGGAATCGAAACTCTATTCCTATACGGAAACCGTCATTTGATCTGACGTGCTATACCATTCAGTTACAGAGAAGCGTCTGGTTAGCAAAGTCCGAATTACTGTTTAAATAAACATTGCTAACCAATATATATATATATATATATATATATATATATATATATATATATATATATATATATATTGTCAATTGCTATATATATATATATATATATATATATATATATATATATATATATATATATATATATATATATAGTACCCTAGTAAGCCAGACAAACCTACCTAGGTTTCATCTAAACGGATCGTCAGGAAAGCTCGTTAGCCAAGCTTTCCTGACGATCCGTTTAAATGAAAACCTAGGTAAATTTGTCTGGCTCACTAGGTGTATCTAGGTCTGCTCTACGGTTGTATTGAGCTCTTTTGTTAGTTAGTTGTTACTCGTATCAGGATTTTTTCTTTGGGCTTCAGACCTGCATCTGTGCGATTTTTGTCAGCAGAAGTTCATGTTTGTAGCTCTTTCTTTTTTAAAACCTTTTTTCCCTCGAAATTGATTTGATTAACAAATCAAAAATTCGAGGGTTTTCAAAACGAGTCTAGTTATTTATATTTATATTTATATATATATATATATATATATATATATATATATATATATATATATATATATATTGAACAATAAGAAAATTAAAAAATTAAAATCTTTAGACACACTGGATTGTAGATTAATATTCTTTCGTTTTTTTATTATTATTCCATTTTGATTCCTCGACTAGTTTCGACCAAGATGGCCATCATCGGGAGGAGAAATATTTCTGCTTGCTGGTAGCACTAAACTACAGAAATGAATATCTTTTGCTGGAGAAAATTAACTTTTGTCTGTAGTTTTCATTTGTTTTTTTATTTTTTTATCTTTTTAACATGAATCTTTTAACATTCCTTGTGTTGGTCAAATAGTCGCTTTTAAGTTGTTATTTGAGATAAGAGCTGGATAGATACATGTTACTCTGAATTCTCTGGTCAGTTTGACAGTTTTATTGGACCTGGTGAGGAGATGTGTCTCTGTTTAGTGTTTGTGTGTGTGTTATTTGGTTCTTAGGGAGTGAGTGAGTATGATATGTGTAAGCGTGTGTATTGCTGTGGGTGGGTGTTATCATTTGGCTCATTAGGGAGTGAGTGAGTATGATGTGTGTAAGTGTGTATATTCGTGTGGGTGAGTGTATAAGTGTGAGGCCTCCACACCTCCGTAAGCATGTCTGTCTTGTGTGGGTGAGAAATGTGGGTAGATTTTGATTTGTTGAGTTATATATTGGTACTATCTGTATTGTTAAATTTATGGTTTAGCCTGGCTGGATATTTTGTTTTTAGACGTTGTATCCACTTATTTTCATGGGACTCTAAAATCTTTCTAATGTTATCTGCTCTGAACTTATATATATATATATATTCCAACCATCTCGAGACTGGTTGTAATTCACAGTTCTCCTTCTTCTAGACCGATTGCCACCGAAGGCTATAGAACCCAGTCTGTCCTTTTACTTGCCCATAGCTTGGAGGAGAAGAGATGGATTCACATCTTTCCCCAGGGGTATTAGCACGTTACTCAATGTAATGAACTCGCGTAGAATTAGTACTCGATTCTCTAATTCCTCAATCCATTACTGCACCGTGCCCCCCTCTCTCTCACTCTCTCTCTCCTTCTCTCTCTCTCTCTCTCTCTCACTCTCTCTCCTCTCTCTCTCTCTCTCTCTCTCTATATATATATATATATATATATATATATATATATATTGTCAATTGCAGATATCTTCTGATGATTGGACGGAACGATTGCTCAAGAGTTGATATTCTGAAAATAACGTCAATCAGCTAAATGACAAATTCTATATTTGCATTAATCATATATATATATATATATATATATATATATATATATATATATATATATAGTTCATGCGACATAGACGGAAAATCTACCAGTAAAAAAGAATTCTCTTTTGTACAAAAACGCACAACCTTAAAATTTAAATTCAAACTCAGCGTTGCGACCGCACGTTCCAAAACAATAACACATTTTTCATAGCATTTTTTCGGACTGCATCTCTATTATCGTTGCCTCTTATTACCGAGAAGTAAAAACAAGAACAAAATCTATTTCCATACCTGAGGATGTCTGTAAGAACAGACGAAAGCTTTTAAAAATTAAAAGACCTTATGCAACTGGAATTTATGAACAGGGATCATATCATTCATATACAGGTTCGGGGTTGATGTATCTTATTTATATTGTTTGCGAAGATGTATTCTGGCCATTTAAATCATTAACCTCTATATTTGTTTGTGGTATGAATGATTCATGAATATATATATATATATATATATATATATATATATATATATATATATATATATATATATATATATATATCTTTCATTGAAAACAGCCGAAAAAGAAGATTTAATTAGTCTTTATTGAGTTCTTCCAGATATCTAACATATTTTTCGTTTTTCAATTGTTAAAGAATATAGGAATTATCCACAGTCATAATTGTTCCGAGCTACGCTTTCGGTTACTTCTCTAGCCATTATCAAGGATGTGTTTTGGATGGGGAAATTCTCTGTGTGTCAGCCACATAGTAGTTTTACAATGTGGTGTTCCAGCGATTGCTATATTGTTTAACCCCTGAAAAACGGAAAAAATGTCAGATTGCTGGAAAAACTCAACAAAAGATTAATTGTCGGCTGTTTTTAATGAAAGATGCATAAATGAAAAGTTGCTGACCAAATACATCAATATAATATATATATATATATATATATATATATATATATATATAT